GCAGGTTGGTTGACTTCACACATATCTTTGAATTTATTCGCCGATATGTCCAGATTGCATCACGATGTTTTCCTTCACCGTAAAAACGTTGGGTAAATTATGTACATATGAAAATTCGTAATACCGAAAATCACATTGGAGCACGGCGGGATTCGAACCCAAGACCTGTAGATTACAAGGCAAGTGCTTAAACCACTGAGACACCGACGCTCTACTCTCTAACATTACTTACTAACATAAAGTGTTGTGCGATTGTCGATTGTTTCGCCTTCAATTGTGTTGCTCAACTAAAAATCGAGTAGTGTGCGCACATCCATATAAGCTCATAGAATTCAAAGCACGACTAAACAGTTGTACGATAGTTTGATCAAAGGTGTGCGCACGTTCTAACGCCGCGACTAACGAGTGATGCGGAGCGTAGCACAGTGGGCTAAAATATCAGCTTACGTAGACATTTTCGTCTGATATTTTGGATGCCTATATTAGCAGAGATTTTAACCTACGTGTTACGTAACCGCGGCAAGTACTTATTCATATTGACTTGCGAGGGCGAAATTTCAAACACATTTATTTGTACATAAAAATAGACTAAACTCAGCCTAATTTATATATTTTCATTATTCGAACTGGTCGATCGCAAAAACGTAGATGAAATGTGCAAAGAAATGAGTTCAACACATTCAACTTCCCTGTGATTTCACTTTGTTGAGTGAAAATCAAATGCATTTTAACTAACTTAAGAGACAAATGTATTAAAATATTCTTACCATATTCCCTTAAAGACATGTTGGCTTCTTTCGCGCCTTTTCTTATCGCGCTTAGGGCAACCATCAGTGTTGCACCTTCTGATACTACAGCTCCACCAAGAACGAAATAAGCCTACGAAAAAGTGGATTAACAATTTTGATACTTAATTCATTTTAAATGATTGAGTGATTGCGGATGTAAAATCTTAATACTATATACAATTTAACGTATAATTACCCAGAAAAAGTCATGAAGTGGCTGTGGATCCATTATGCCAGTAACTCCATGATAAAATGACAAGCCACTTCCCACACAGAATATTCCCACTCCGGAGATGAGAGAAGAAACATATCTCATATTTGTGTAACCATAGGGATGGTCTGGATCTGCTATCTGAAACAAAACATATAAAATGTAGCGTAAATTTTAACATTTTCTCTAACACTACAATTAATTTTAATTACAAAGCGAAGCATATTTATTTATGATAAAAAGTTGGTAGCAGTCTATATGTTAAGAAGCTTTTAATTCAACCAATGTCAAAGTATTTTTTTTACAATTATTAATTAATATCTTAACAATGTAAAGTTTGTAAAATTAAAATGAATTATTTTTTAATGATTATTTGATGAATAGAATTTACTTACTTGGACTGATTTATGTATTCCATAAGCAAGTATTAGTTGATTGACTGTGTCTGCGAGGGAATGTATGCACTCTGAGAACAAACTGTGTGACCCTGTGTAGAACCAAGCGCAGAGTTTAAACAGAAAATTACACCCATTACTGTAACAAAACAACTTGATTAGCACTTTAACACCAACATTTCAACATTAGTTCATGTTGTAAGCCAACATAACATTTTGATATAGCAATAAAATTAAAAACGAAAAAAGTTTTACGGAGACATTCCACAACTTCACACATATTTACAACCCTTTTATCACTTGGCAATTGCTATTTCTACAAGAAATGTATTAACTATTTCCACTTGAGCAGCCATAACTTGATGAAACATGAGAATATAGTGCTTGTAACTTACATTCCTATTGCAGTAAGTACCACTCGTCCTGATCTTGTCTTCAAACCTAATTCCTCACCTTGTTTTAATCTTTTGTCACTCATTTCCCTTCTATAATTACGTAATCGTCTTTTAACAGTGAAAACATCTGTAATAATAATTATGTTTGGAAATCACTGTTGTTAAAGAAAACCTTATTATAAATTATTAAGAAAGAATACCTTGTTCATATCTTCTTCTGTCAAGTTCTCTTCGCAACATTTCTTTCTCCAATACTTCTCTAGAACCCCACACCTATAATAGAAGAAAATCTGCATGTTAATGTTTAATTAAAAATATGGTTGGTATAGAACGGGACTGTATATGGTTAGTCATAATCTAGTCCTAGAGAATGTCAGCCTTATTTTGTTGGGAATATCTATTAAACTTTTTATGAAACAAATAAAATATAGAGGACAAAGAGTAATATTAGCACATATTGATTGGGTATAAGAGTGAAGAATTCTTTTTACAAGATTATTGTCTCACTCATGAGAATATTAGTGGCAATCAAAGTGTTACTAACCTCAATAGCTTTTGCTTCAACATCTTTACGATAATGTACAGTAATAGGTGGTTCAGATTCATATGGTGATCTTCGAAGGACCTTTGGTAATGATTCCAAATCAGATTGCTTTAACAAATATTCAGTCATCGCACGCATCGGAGTTATAAAGTTACGTTCAGTATATGATGCAGAAAAATCAATCAATAGCCTTTTTTTGACTAGAACAAAAATATTAAAATAGTACTTAGACATTACATAAAAGCTATAGTTTAATGAATTGAATTCAACACAAAGTTTACCTTGAGGAGCAATTTGTTTGGTCGTTGAAGTAGCTTTTTGTGGTTTTTCAATAGTGACTTTTGTAACAATTTTATTTTCATCAGTTTCAGTTTTAACTACAATTTCTCTCACACCTTTAGTTAACTTGTCTTCCGCTTCTGGTACTTTTTTCACATTAACAGATTCACTTTTATCCAAGATATAAGTTGAGGTTTTCAAATGTCGAAAGATAACATTTTTCATAGCGTGAGTAACATTGCCAGTCTGTTGTAAAAGTCCACGATTTCCAATGCACATGTATCTCACATTTATCATACGAAAACATTTTTTACCAACTTTCCTATAAATAAGAGTACTCGCGGAAAGCAACATGATAGTTATAAATTCAAAATCTATGTAAATCGAGTTAGGAGGTACTCCTTTAGTTTTAATTTATGTTCTAAGAAACGAGTGTAATATTGGACATTGTTTTATAACATAAAATTATGTGCGTTTGTGTACTACATATGGAACCTGATTAAAATTCGCAATAACTTAGAAACTAACAGAAACTAATGAAAATCTCAATTTTATATACAAATTATGACAAATTACAATACAAATCTCATACTATGACGTTTATTGTCAATGTCATTGTGTAAATAATAAATTGACATTAGGTTCAGCACAGACTATACAGATTTCTTCAATGTTGCAAAGAGAGTTCATAAAATCTATAAAATCTCTCTTTACCGATAAAACTTGGATAAAACTATCATCAAAAGTTTCAGTGGTATTAAAATACTCCAAAAATACTTGTAATAAATCTACGAAACAAGCAAAATCTTGAAATATTTCCAAATGTTCGTAATAAGCTACCTTAAAATAGGCAAAGGTTTGGAGATCATGGAGCCAAAGCTAATGTCAAAATAGTGTGAAAGGAGTTGATGACAGTTAATTTTGACAGTTCTTTTCGTTTCGGCAAGTGTCTGTAGAGGTGTGTTTATATATGAAAATCTTAATAAATCATAATAATTGCAATTCGAATTAGTAAATTATCTTTAAAAACCTAAACTGTGATATATGGTGTATTAAAAAGTAAAGTGATTTTTAAAGTTCCACCTTGTAATTTCAGATCACAATGGCAAAACCAAAGGGGGAAAGGAAGGGTAAATCCGCTATTAACGAAGTTGTTACACGTGAATACACTGTGAATTTACATAAACGGCTTCATGGAGTTGGTTTTAAGAAACGGGCTCCACGAGCAATCAAGGAAATTCGCAAGTTTGCCGAAAAACAAATGGGTACTCCTGATGTTCGTGTAGATACTCGTTTGAACAAATTTCTGTGGTCCAAGGGTGTAAGGTTAGTTGCTTTTACAATTTCACTGACTTAATCTAAATAAGCAAACTTCGCTGCTTTTGTTTTATTTGAAAACGTAGTGTATAAACATCTCTACCATACATAGGTTAGCTCACTATCTCAATACAAGTCATAATGTATTAAAACGTTCGTTAGTTTTAGTCTTAACAGTATGTTATTTAAAATTGAAAATATCTTATCTAAATAAAAACACAGGTTTAATTTAGAAAGTATGTATGAAAACAAATCATTCTGCAAGTCTAGAAGTGTTATTATTGAAAATAAGTGAAGTAATTCCTAGGCATTATATCATAATAAGTTAATTAAAAAAGCCATAAAGGACTACATAGATCAATTTTGAAAACAAATTAAATTTACATTGCTAATAAATGAAGATTCTGTCTGCATAGAAATAAAGAAATTAAGAAAGTTCTACATTATGTAGATGTAGAGGATATCCATGCCAAATTTCATGGAGATCCATTCAGCAGTTTAGTTTGATGTTAGTAAAATTGGCTAATAATTATGCATTATTTCTTTAACTTGTATATTGTACCTTGAGATGACTTCAAGTGTTTGAATGATTAATGACGTTGATAAAACAATACTGAAAAGCAACAATCTTAATACTAAAAGTGTAAAAGTTTCCATTAAAGTTTACATTTGTTTCTATGTATTTCCTGAACAACTAAAACAATCTCGCTGTTATCTGGCATAGGTGTAAAACATAATTGGGTAGAACAAATAAGGTTACTAAATTTGTTATAACTTGCATGGATGGAGTTATGGTTGACAGCTAGTAGATTTTAAAACATCTGCTGTTAGCTTTGCTATTGTCATTTCACACATTTGTTACTTGTGACATATTTTTATTTATCTTTTGTGGTCATAAATCTGTACTTGCACAATTCCACTTAAGTGTTATTTCAATAAAATATAGGAGAATTTTGATTTTAATTTTATTATTTTTCAGAAATGTTCCCTTCCGCGTCCGTGTCAGGCTGTCGCGTAGACGCAATGATGATGAAGACTCAGCACACAAACTGTTCACACTTGTGACTTACGTGCCAGTCGCCTCAATCAAGGGCTTGCAGACAGAGAATGTTGATGCTAGCCAAGAATAAATCTTAATATAAGGATACTTTTTTGTTTTATTTATGAGTATTTGTATAATTTTCAGGCTTTTGTGCAATAAATACGAAGCAAACACAAGCTATACAGACTTTTTCATTCTGGTTTTCTGTGGTAGAATGGTATAATAGTTTGATGAGTTGGGGTATGGAATGTTATTAAAATTAATGATAGAGATACTTGTAATAAATAAGTGTAGATTGGAAACCAGAGCTAAAGTATAAAGGGAAGTAAAAGTAATTCATCTCATTTTAATTTGAGTAATATACATGAGTAGTATTTTTAAAATAAAGTCCTCTTTATTGCAATCATATTATGATATATTAATGGACATACAGTGTCGCATACAGCATATAAAAAAAATAATGAATTTATTTCCTCTTAACTATTTTAGAATTGCATATGATTTTTAAAGGTTTTTGTAGGTTTTGTACAGTAGTAAAAAATGTGAATATGTATGTAAAGAAAGGTTGAAAAAATAAAAAGAATTCAACTTATATGAATCATTTGATTTTTTTTCATAGTGCAAAATTGTTTCAGGTAGATGTCGTTGGCGATAAAATGCTTTTGTTACGTTTCGTATAACTGGGTCAGGACACTTTGATATTTATTTTATATGTTGCACATGAGATTTTCCACTTAAAGCCCATTGAAGTTTACCTTTTATACTTGAGATCGGGTGTAAGGATCTTCACGGTGTATTATAACAAACAAATACGCTCAGAATTATGATAGAAGTTTTAGAATAAATATGCAAATATAATACAGTACAAATAACATCATAGTAAGCCACAGTATGTAAAACTGTACATACCTATAATAAATTATCACTAAACAGATTAACTGCTTTGTATTAAAATTGAACTTTTAACCGGTTAGACTCCTAAGCCTTGGATCTCAAGGGTTAAATATGTTAAAACATCGAATGTAGTCGATTCCTTCTATTAAATTCGTATTTTTTTACTACAATTTTATTCCCTTCGAAAGCATAGGAAGTAAAAGTGGGTTTGACGGTGGAGGAGACGCATAGGAGGGGAAATGTCCTCTTTATGTGCGTCTCCTCGTCCGTCAATCAAGGGTAGGCAACGCATCTGTTTATTAGCAGCGTTCGCTTTTCATTTCGGTGGATTCAGGTGGTCGCTTGCTCGTTTGCCACTTTATATTATATATTATTTTACTACAAATATCTTTAGTATTTAGATTAGACTACAATACAAATATGAAAGTGTAGATTTTAGACGTTCGGGAGGTAATGTCATACATATTTTAAACGGACCCGCCCTCCTCACAGAAAGACGTAATTTACAGGGTCGCGTGGAGAAGAGAGCCCGATTTATAGTCCGACAATTGGGACGGGCTTTTAAATGAACACTGCAGCGATTTGCCGTTGTTACCATGATTTATGTCTTTTACGTGTGCTACAAATTTGAAAGCAAAATTTGTAATATGAATATTATTTTATATATTAAATTTATTATAGTGAATAAAGTCTGGATGAATTGTGTTTTTGTGTATTTTGGTATAGTGTTAGCTTTTTAACTATTTTTGATGTGTTCTGTATTCTTAAAAGTTTTTTGTTAATCTGTGCTATTTATCAATACATTTATATTTATTTAAAACAACAACATTGTTAGGAAAATATTAGGAAACGGAAGGAATAGTGGGGGGTAGTTTTATAAAATATATGGCAAGGAGTGGCTCGGGCTCAGTT